GCAGCTAGTCTTAGGCCAGCCTAACTTTCAGAGCAGAGGCAGACACACAGCACAGCTTGGCAGCTCTGTCCCTGGGAAAATTAGCAAGAGTCTATACCTGACAAGGTAAATTCAGGAGGTGTACAAGGCTGATTTTACTTGCCATTTTGGAAACTATCCTCAGCCACAGTACAGCAGAACAGCAACTGCGGGACTAACACCAATTCTAATTGCTAGCATCCTGGAAAATCCCCAGGGGGTATGGAGAGGCATCTTTCTTGGGTCAGTTTTGAACTAGGCATTTGTAACATCCCTGTCCTGCTCTTCTAACTTTACTTCCATGCCATAATTTACAGCAAAAGCCCTGTGAACTCAGTTTGACCTATACAGACTGAAGTTTTTTGGAGTGCAACTAATTCCCGTACAAGTCCAGGTTTAGGCTGAGTGTCAGCTTAAACCCTTTATTCTCCACAACTGCATGCATGCCTCTATTGCAATTCCTTCCTTGTATGGGCAAATGTTTCCATATGCATCAACTGTGAATCTGAGTTCATTGTCTGCTTCTCCTTAGTTAAACTAAGAGCAGTTTAATATAAGACAATCTTAAAAGCAATCGTACATCATCCACGTTAGCAAATGTACTGCAGCACTCCCCTTATCTCCATAAGGGACATCAGGGAACTTCTTCAATACTCAAACAGTGGGGATTCCAAGCCCCATACATCACCTGCTTTCTTGCCATCAGTAAGAGCACACTTTTGGAGGCAAAGAGGGTATGACCTCAAATGCTGTAACCTGATTCTTCCCCAAGAAATATTTTTGGTTGAAATCTGCCAACCCAATTTAACATGGCTTGGATTGTTCTGCTAAAAATTAGGAGAGAATGAAGGGTGAATGGAGTGAAGAACATGAAGCCCTTTGGGACAGAACTAGGGCACACTGATGTGCCTTCTTCACTTGTGTGCTTTATGGGAAGCTGGTCTCATCCTTCCAGCCACTGACCCAGCATCTCCCCCATCCTGTTGAGGGCCAAGCACACACAGAAAGGTATGGTTTGGTAGCAAGACATACCATTTAGTCACTTGTCAGCTGCTCCACAGGAACCAAGACGATGTGCTCTCATGCCCGAGAATGTGCAAAGAGTTTGCCTAGAGTACCTTTCACTCCAGAGTAACTTACTTGAAGCATGGTTCCACCTACTGCAGGTAACATCACAGAAAAGCAGCTAGCACGGAGCGGTTAATGCCTTGCAACACATCCTTTCTCCCTTCACCACATTTTTGGGTAACCAGGTCCTGGGTTAGTGCCATTTTGCTTTTGATAGAAGATCTCTGCTCTATTTACCTACCAAAGGAGCATTAAGTGTTCATCAGCAGAAACTGTTGGAAAAAGAGTGCTTCTTATTATAAAGCACTTAAAAGAACTTGGCATTCAGGACAGATAACCTATTTACATACTGCTCTAACGAATCAGAAACCACTAAAGCATTACAGCTCCACACTTTGCAAAGAGCACACAGTTATTAATTTCTAGAAGCCAGCCATGCCATTTGTCATGCTTACTGTAACAATTAAACGGGTTTCTAAGGCATATTGGCTTAAGAACCGCATGTACAACAATTCCCACTCTGCGTGTTTTGGGACTCAGCTTATTAAAGGAGAATAATTGCATGTTGTCTTCCTGCCTTTCATCCCTCCTTCGTGTCAATCAAGAATTTCAGGGAAAAAAAAATCACAATATACTCAACAGCTTACATAACACTGTTCCAGTATTATGCAGGCCAGGGGCATTATTACTATATCTACTGGTAGAACAGTAATGCATTCAAAACTGTGGAACTGCACCTGAACGAATGTAGCAAACATTTGCTAAGTTCAGGAGCTTTTTTTGCTCACCTGACTTCTAGAGGTTCAGATTTATAATATTGCCAAAATGTTCAAAGTCTATATTTCTGCAAGAATGTTTAGTATTCTGCACTTTTATTCTCTGAAAATACACTCAGCAGTCTGAGAGCTTAAGATTTAAAGTTCACCTGTATATTTATCCTTAAGCATCATTTTTGTTTTAAAGTCACCCATCTTCAAAAGGCCAGGTCTGCCTTTTTCATAATGGATAGTAAAGTCTTTGAAGTAAAACAAGAAGAAAAATAGAGAAGAGACCAAGAAACCCATGCAAATGGTATCATGAGCCTTGCTTTTCTACATCAACAGGTATCTTACCTTCACATTGTTCCTTTCACATCACAAACAGCACATAACTATGAGAGTATCTCATCATATTACTTGTATATGTTATCCATCAGTAATAAAACCACTCTTTGCTTACATACAGGCACAAAAGGTTACTCACAGGGTGAAATAACATTCCTGTAAAATAATATCCTACCTTTAGCTAAAATTCAAAGTGTTAATCAACCACTTGTGATCCATTTGAGATCCACTTAAGTTGAAAGACAGGTCGTGAAAACAAAGCACACCCCTCCTGGCTTGGTCTTTTCTGTTCATGCAAGCAGGCATCCTCAGCACCAAATCCAAGCAGGAAAAAATTACAGCGTAAGTGATGTATCTTTAGAGGATGCTGTGCTTGAGCTAATGAAGACATATGACAGATGAGAAGCTTATGGAAAATGATTAATTTTTCTTCATTAGAAAAAAACACCTAGGTAAAACTTGTCATAAGTAATCAAGCTTTTTGCTGCAGACTGATTAAGTTGCTCCCCCACTCCGTGTTGGCATAGACTAGACTTGCCAGCACATAACCACCAGTAAACAGTACAGCCCATTACTTAAAGGCAGAGGGTGGAGGAGAAAAAAAAACACAAATTTGAAGCACTTAAAAAACCCAAACAAAACAAAAACCACCCTGTTTCTCTTGATTACCTATCCTCACCTATCTTCCAAAGCTTGCCAGGTCCTCCAGACCAGAAATTAATACACCTCAGTAGCAGGGATCTGAAAAACCTCTGCCCTACATCTTCAGCTTCTGCAGAAGAGAGGAAGGAAGAAAAAAAAAAAATACACTTTTCATTCTAAAGATATTTACATATGACTACAGTTACCAGCATCCTCATTTCTATCTCACTACACCAGGAACCTCAACTCCTAATGTAAGAAGATTTGGAGCAAACTGGAAGTTTAGGGCAGTCAACATCACTGGACACATTCGACACAGTATTTTTGCCAGTCACATCAACTGTTCACTTCCAAAAGAAAAACGGATTTAATTTTCTTCTTTCTACGAGGCATACGAGCACAGTCTATCATAAAAAAGAAGTGTTTAGATGGCTCTTCGTGTACTGGCATTGGTTTTTCTACCTACTACCTAGAGTAACTCTAGTGAAGTCCGTGAAGCTTCCCTTTACCCCCTAGGAGAATTTTCTGATGAAACTCTGAACAAAGCACCCCACATCATACAAAATATAGCAGAGTGACCTAACAGTAACCTGTCAAGCACCCTGACTGACAGCAGCAAAATACTTTGGATGGAGGTACAACAATTTCTCAACAGATACAAGTAACCTCTTTGGAAAATGAGCCTCACCTCCAATAACAGGAATGATTTAAAGCCCCAAAGACAAACCACCCTTTAAGGTTTAGATAAGCTCTCTTTTACAAATACCCAATACTTTTTGGAACGAACTTATATTTTAGGGTGCCCTTCTACTAACATATGTTTAACAACAAAGTCAAAAAAATAAACCCCACTGATTTTTCTTTCCCTAAAACCTCTACAGAAGAGGATGAGAATGCCACCTGCTGGAAAAAACATGGAAAAAAAACGGGCAAATTCTGCAGCAAAATAAAAAACACCCAGTTCTAAACAGCCAGTTGAAAGATGCATGCATATTTATGCTGGTCTCTAGCTTATAGCCAGGTCTAGAGAACCCCACGCACTGCCAGGATGACTAACCCAGCACAGGACCACAGCTCTGCAGCTCCTGGCTATTCACTGCTCCCATTATGTATGTGCTCTTCATCTCCAGACAATAACAGATGAAATCCACACAAGGCATCAGCCATAATTTTTCATTTAAAAAAAAAAATCTCATTGGGAAGTGCAGCACAGGATTTCCTCTGAGAGTCACCTGCATAGAAAAAAGTCTTTGCTGCTTGTTGTGAAGCGGCTCCCGCCCCCCTTAAACCGATCCACTTACCCCAAGTGGTTTTTCACAAGAGCATCAAGAAGAACCTCTACTGCAGACAAGAAAGTGATACTTAAATTTTGTAGCTTTTCTCAGGTTTCATCCCAAAATGGTCTAAGCACAATTCTTTCCAGGTTACTACAAACAAGCCACTAACTGACCGGATTCTCTGAGGGGCACAGAATCTGTTACACATAGATGAAACAGCATTATTTGAAAGATGAGGTGCGTGATCGCTTCTCCCACAGAACACATCCCGCTTTTCCTTAGAAAAACCTCACCCAGCAGTAAGGCTCTGTATATCCTCCAGTATCTACATATGCAGATTAAATGAAAAAGCGAGATATCACAAGCATCACGCAGAGGTTACACCCACCAACTCAAAAGGAACACCACTTCTGACTCTGCAGAAAAAGTAACAGTAAATAAAAATCTGGCTTCCTTCACTGGAGTTATATGGCAGGTTTCCACACACAACTGCATTAGTTTCTCTGTGTGGGACTGAGTCAACAAAAGCATTGAACATTTGGCAATTTCAGCAGAGTAAAAAGGCACTATGGATATGCCGTGTGCCGCCCTTTTGGCTGCAACTGTGGAACTTGGATGGCAATACTTCAGAAGTCACAGAAATACCTTAATGAAAGAACTATTCCGTGCAAAGAAAAAAACACCCACAAACTACAGAGCTTTAAGCTACCAACAGGAGGAATTTGAAGTGTCTTTGGTTTTGACAAGAGACTCCTGCTTGTGACATTGTTTCTTGTTACACAGAATTGAAAAATGAAATTCACAGATAGATTTATTTTTTCTTTTCATTAAGTATGATTTGAATTACACCATTTGCTTTCAAGCTTTATCATCAGGTCTACAAGGAAAGACCTCAGGTACTAGGAGATTCTTGGACATTTTTTTCTTCATCTTCTGTGTTATCTTTTCCTTCCTCTTCTACTTTCTCTACCTCAGGTAGAAGTCCATCAAGCTTCAGTAGCAAACCTTCACTGGTTGAAGATCTAATAACCAACTTCTGCACAAAAGGACCTAGAAAACAAAGAACACCATCACCAATTCAGCCACTCCACCATGTCTCATGTCTCCAGGCTGATTTAACTCAGTACTAACCCATTCTGTGTCAAGCACGTGACCAGAAGCAGAACTACACATGTAGACACATCCCTTCAGCATGGAGAGTTAAACATCCACCCCGGCAGATGGGGCTCAAAATGCAATTCACACTCTGGTGCCACAACAGGCAGTAACTTGATGGCTACCTTGTTCCTTCAGCCCCTCACCAGCAGCTGGCATCAGTGGTGTCCCTGGGCCTTAGAACACACAAGTAAAACTTCACAAGCACTCCTCCAAAAAAATGAAATAGAGGTGAACTCGCTTTGGGACATGGTCCTGAGTGGCAAGATATGGGTGGGAAGTTTGTTGATCATCCAAATGTTAACGTATGACTAAGAGCACAACAGAAACTGTTCTTATCTCAGAATCCTACCACCAAATGCTGAGAGAACCTTTTGACAAGAGGAACTACAGAAATTTATTTGTGGAAGATTAAACAGACCTGCATTATACTCTGAGAACATATGCCTGGAGGTATTTTTAGCCTTTCATTAGATCAGGTGACTCAGACAAATGGTGTTTTATTGATAACCACATAGCTGAAGACACGCTTGGAAGCTCTGAAAGGAACTACGAACAGAAATCTACAACTAGCTGGTCCAAGCGATTGATAGTTAGCAAGCATATCTAGACTCCATTGTTGTAAATATATGTTAATGACCAACTTTGCTTCCTATAAATGGCAAATATCTTCATCAAGCCAGCAAAAGAGCCACCACAAAAAAACAAGCCTGACACTGCAAAATAAAGAGAAATGCTACTAAGACCAGAACAGTTTACCCTTACTTAACTAGGGTGATGTAATTGACATACAAACTCACCAAGGACAAAAATACCATCACTTTCTACTTTTACTCACTTATATTTCAAGTCAACCAACCCCTTATACTTTTTATTTGGGCTGAAATGCTTCTAAATATAATCTAAATAAAAATTTAAAAATACTTTGCTTTTCGTGGTCTGTTCTCTGTCTGTACAGTAGTTACTGTTGACAGCATCACTGTAAGAGACACAAGATAATTCTTTTTGCAGACATTAGGCTAATATTAATGTAAAAAGGTGCTTTCTTAGCTTAAACAAGGCTATTCTTCCATAAAATTACATTCATAAATCACCATTTCCACACCAGCTAAGCACATGACATTTGTTTAAAGTTCACTTCATTATGACAAAGAGCAGATACCATATTAGTCGCTCATATTCTTGGCTTAGAAGTGAGCAGAGCCCACAGGAACAACACACAGAATTCACACCTTTGCTCCTTTGTAACCTGATCCTTTTCCTAAGGAATAAAATAATAAAAAAGATAAACAGCTTTTCTCTTGGAGCAGCAGAAATTTTGGAAGTATCTTAGTAAAAGAAAAAGGTTGTACACCTTCAAACAGGTAGCTAACACCAGACTAGGTGTTAACTGAAGCATAGGTTTTAACTAGACCAACTGCAGGTGGATTCTGGGTTCAAATTCTTTGCATTTAGCTCCAACAGGGGCATGTCAATGGGGTAAAACCAACACACAGAGACCCTGAAGATCCCTGTCTCTCATAAGGATTTCCTTGTATGGCTTTAATCTGTTTAAGCATCAAACCTGCAAACTTAGTTTTGTACATCTCACTTCTTCCCTCGGACAGATGCTTACGGAGTGCTGCAGTGCAGCGAGAGCTCACAGCAGCAAGAGTAGATGCTGTTCATGCCCCTATAGGCTGTCAAGTTCTTATGTCTTGATTTATCGAGATGCTTAACAGCTCGCTCTTCCTGTCCCAAGGTAGACAAAGCAGCGAGGTCATCTAATGACACCTCAGCAAAGACCGCTCATTTCTTAATTTTGTTAGCTGTAACTTCAAGTACCACGTTAGAAGAACAGCTACTTACCGTAACTCGCTGGCTTGAACGTGCAGATATCCTGGATAACTGTTTTCAGATTGGCGACTATCTGCTCAGTAGGCATATCCAGCTGAAAAACAATAATGTAAAGTTAGCCATGGTTGTACTTAAAGTCTAGAAAGCATGGGGTAAATATATTTTCCTACATTTGTGTTTCCTGTTACAGAGTTACAAATCCCATTAACATCCTTATCCAAATGACTCTGAGAAAACATATTTCATACATGGTTACACACTCATCATTATTTTCCTTGTTTCTATGTATGATATTAAATTCCCACAGCTCCGTCAGAACACATAGCCCTGAAGATGTGAAAAGTCTTAACCAATATATGTACAAGTGCTTTTGCAAAAATCATACTGAAATGAAGTATTTAAGGAAAGAAGCTTCAAGAAGCTGCTCTCAGAGAACACAAAACAGATGAAGTAAAAAAACAAGCATCTGAAATTGAAGGCATTAATTAACGTAATGGAACCAAATAAGTAATTTAAAAAAAATTGAAAAGCTTCTTCCCTATTTCAACATATTACAGTGACTTGATAATTTTTACGGAAAATACATGGAAGCTTTGAGCTTTAGAGACGTATCAGGTCTGTATCTACCCTTTTTATGCACCCCAGTTCCCATCCATGGCAGTTCTGACCTTGCAACAAGAACCACGGAGTGGTGGCTCCTCATTCTGCCCCATTTTCCCATCTAATAGAGCACTTGAGCAGTCCTCATCACACCAATCACCGATACTTGCAAGTGTACAAGCACTGCTGCCAAAATTATTTTCATCTTCTTTCCTCATATAACATGAGCTTAACATCCATTTCACAGACTTCACCTTCTGCTGCTATAATGCCCTCCTATGTCTCGCTTAATTTGCTCTCTGGTTTCACGTGTATCATCTACACACCTTTATCTGGATGAAAAATCAACTTCTTTTTCTAGAGGTTTCAGCTATGGAATTGAGGAGGAAAAAAAAAAAAAAAGAGAGTATTTTCCTCACAGAATTAACTCTGTTTCAGGGGAGCCTACAGGCATCACCAGGGTCCCTTCTTCCTCTCCACCACCTCCCAACATAGCATGAGCAGATTTCATTACTATCTCGGTAAAGGTATGCACTGCATTGCAATAGAAGTACTGTGATACTTCATTGCTCTCCTGACAGATCTGGTCCATTAATCTCTCTTTATGCTCTTCTGACAGACTTACAATCCAAATGCAGTTCCTCTGCTGCACAGGCCAGTACACATTCATCTTCATCATTGTTATGCTGATTACTAAGTGCTTAATCATTCATAAATTAACAGACCTAAAAATCTGTTTTCTAACGCTGCACATTTCACTTCATTGACAGCCTCGCTGTGCTGTACCAATTTCAAAATAAAGGAATACTCAGAGCTAGTTAAACAAAACAATTCATTTCTACTAACAAATTAGAAATTATATTTCAAATGAAGGCTCAAATAGCATTCGCTTCCAAACCTTACACTAAATTCAGGCCTTAAAGTGAACCTTCAGCTGTGCAGTTCCAGTGAGCTACTTCACATTCATCACCTCTAATGAAGTCTAGAAGCATTTGTAAGATAAGAGAATTTGCAAGTTGCTTTAAACAGTAAGTTACAATTTCTTGTAAAGACTTAGAAGTACAACACAGTATGAGACAAGACCCATCTCAAAATATGATGAAGACATTAGTTACTGTTCTGCATTTGATAGGACAGGAAAATAGGACAGAGTGACTTGCACTCAGGCAGACATGACACAAGCCCAGAGATCACACAGCATAATTTACTTGAGATGCTGACAATTCCATAATGGAGACAGTTAACGCTCAATGGGCTCCAAGTATTTCAAAACAGTTTACACATCAAAATAAATACTCCATCTTCCAACTAAGTATTGCACAGTAATTCCTTGCAGGTACACAGTCGCTGTGTATCAGCACTTAGCTATTTAGTTTAATTCAAACCTTCGCCAAACTGACAAAAGTACTCTGGAGCAGACCTTCAAGGCTGCACAAGCTACTCTGCTCAGATCAACTCCAGCAGGAGCTAAGTATCTTTAATTCTTAAGTCTTCCTGAAGAATTACAATGCCTGCAGAGGGAGCAACTATAACACGAGACAGCAGCACTAAAGGGAAAGTATCTCTTTGTGAAACGCCTGCTTGGCAGACTCCCAGAAACATCTCCACTACTGTTTGGAACACAGTAAATAAATATTCATGCTTCTGCGTAATTCATACATTATTATTTTCTCACTGACAAGATTTAAATTTAAAAAGCTCCGATTTAATGGTGAGCAGACATGCATCACCACTCAAGGCCCCCACTGCCTCCCAGAGGCTCGCCTGTACTAGATTTCCTTCCAGTGCCGCTGCACAAACAGCTGGAAAACTAAGTCAGGTAAAGGACAGCAGCTAGAGAGGGGGGAGACATTTCACACAAGTCACCAAGACACCCCTCTGCACACAACTCAGCACCACACTGGGACCCAGCATGTCCTGCCCAGTGTGCAGTTAGTCACCTCTGCCACGCAGCTGACATGAACACAGCAAAGATGAGCTCTGTGCACAAGTAAACCCTCATCAGGCTGCTTCTGATCCAACATTAAGAGTTCATTCATGAGACCCTAGAGTCTACTAGTACCAGGTGACATCTCTGGCTGCAGCAGATCTTCCAAAGAGCTATGAAGCTGCAGGGCTGAGCTGCCCCAACACAGAACCTCGGGTCACCTGCAACACCAACAGCTTACATCAGCAACAGGACGTGGTTTTCGTTTCAGAGACTCTCACCGCAGCTGCATTAAGCAGATCCAACTTCAACTGCACTGAACATCATCAAGTCATCCGAGTCTCATTCACCTCTGTTAAAAACCTTATTTTTCTTTTCTTTACTACATAAGAATAAACTTTGCAAGCAGCTTAATTTGCAGGTATTTTTAGGCTGACCCACAGTATAAAAATGATTAAGTTTTAAGTAGTACAAAGCAAAAATTAAAGATATATAAGAACAGTCATGAACCTTGAAAGAGGCTGATGGATGGATTTGAGGCGTTTCACACAGTCCATTCAGCTTACACACTACTAAAGAGACTTCCTGCCTGCATCAAAGTGTAACGTATAACACACTTCAGGAAAACAGTCCCAAGAACCTCCGCTTGGTCTCATATAGAAGAGCAAGCCCTCTGAAGCAACATGCACAACTTGCAGCAGCTAGCCAGAATTAACGAACTGGCTTATCTCTGACACCACCAGACAAAGCTTCAGGGATTGAGCCTTGTACTCTTCCTTTCCACACCAGTATCAGTTAAAGGACAGCAAAAAAATCAGGCAGGATTGCAAGTAGACAAAACAGAAACAAAATAAAATACACAATTTGGGGCAGGGAAAATTAAAAAAAAATCATTAAAGAAAACACATTAAGGGTATTAAAAAAAAGACAAGAGATACCCTTACATAACCCAGGTTTTTTGCTCCAGTCCCGGACAGAAGTTATCAACACTGAGTCTTTAATAACTAGGTTAAAGCAAACATTTTTTGATCCACCTGTGCATAGTGACCACTGGCTTGCAGACCCATAGTTTATTTAATTTAAAAAAATATCAAATAAGCTTTATTTTACTCCCAGAAGAGTACTGGGGAAGGCAGGAGTAAGGGGAAGCCTACATTAAGGTCTCAACTCAAAGGAATTACTAGGAAGAGTACCTTTTTCATCCTGTTTTGTTCAGTATTACCACTCCACGCCAATACAGGGCAAATACAGATCCCTTTGTCAGCATCCTTAACTTCTGAGCACCAGGTATGGCTTGCTCTCAGTTTCAGCAGGGCCACCTTCTATTCTACGACCACACATCAGCTGAAGATGTCACACAACAAAGACTAAAAGTTACATTTACTTCACCGGTCAGTTAAACAACATAATTAAAAATCTGGGGAACACACAGATCTACACGTCCTTCCCCCTGTTTTAATACCAGCTTCAGCTCTGCTCAGTAGAGAAAACTTAAGAACTCTATATACAACTTACTCTTGCTATTCTTGTCTCGATTAGATGCTCATCTTCTACCGTGTACTCAAGACCTTCTCTGAAGAGTTGCAGCATTTTGGGAATATCATGGCCCAGGGAATCTAATTAAAAAAAAAAACCAAACCTTGTCTGAGTAATGGTTATTAGCATGGCTAAGTGTGGTATCAATACAAGAGAATTCAATGTTTCAGTTAAGGCAGTTAATTCCAATCAAATGCAGTTTCATGAACAAGACAAAGGAAAAAAACCTGTGAAGAGCATATATAACAACAAAGCTTTATTACCTAATATAATTAAAGTGGTTTTAAAGAACAAAGCCTCCTACAGTTAGGTTTAGAACAAGCCCAAAGTCTAACTTGAAAACAAATAGTCTACTACTACAGAACAGCAAGATTACACACACACACACTACCTGGAACAGGCTGGCCCAATACAGCCATCCCACAAGTCTAGACAGATGCTTCTTATCTCAGCTGCAAGGGCTCATTCAACAGATTTACAACATCCCTCAATCACTTCAAATACAAGCATCTCTTCTCCCACACATCTTTCCACAGATCCAAGAGAAATCAGCTCTGGATAAGCTACAAACCAAGGAAGTTCATAACGGCATAATATAGGTTTAATTTGTTCCAAAAAATATCTGGGGTATTCTCTGTTGCAATGCTTTGGCCAGGTTAATAGGTTTGTCTCAAATGTTTAGGAGGCTAAAAACACTGCCTGAAGCTTGTAAAAACATTGAGACAGCTGAGGCAGGGAAATAAATCTGGTTCAAGGTTCAGTGCTTCACACAGCTGGCACAGGTTCAGTGTTTGAACAACAGCTTTGCTTTTTTATTTTCCGTATTTGAAACAGACCACTGACACATTGCTAAAATAAAGTAAGTCAGCAAGGGAGGACAAAAGTATTTAGGGACTGATGTTTTTTTGCAGTGACAAGCTGAGCTGAAGAGGAAATGTCTTGAGCATTATGAAAAAGGAGAGACAACATAGCTAGGAAGCAGGGTGTACTAAGGAAAAGCCTAAATAACTCTGTTGTTGGGAAGTAATGAACAGACAAGGAGCAGGAGCAGCCACAAAGCTGGGATCTAAACAATTGCACAACAGTTACACAACACAACTATCTCAGTCAATATGTTTTTTCCAAGTTGCTTCTGTTTTCCTGGGTATCTTCACAATACTGTTATGGTTCATCAGGACTAACAAGAATGGGTGTAACCAGCTGACAAACCTATCTGGATTCTAATCCCACATCTGCCTGTTGTAGGAGAAAAAAAAAGCACAGTTCTAGATTCCTAAAACAATTCTTATCTAAGACAAGTGGCTCAGTCACATGCAGCCAAATAACTCAATGTAATTATACATCCTCATCAAACGTGTCAATGTCACCTCATGAGTTAAGCCTTGTTCCAGTACCAAGATGTATAAGAAAGAATCAATTCTTACTTCTTTTTGTGTTTGGGTATTTCCGTCTTAGTTTGTTCCTTAAAGGTATTAGTTTAGGCATTATTGCAGGAACAGCTACATAGAAATCCACTTGGATTTCATCTTCCAAAATCTGCAATTTAAAAAATTAAATATATTTAGGACTATAATAAACTGGCCTCAGTACACAAGCAAGTCAGAGTACAGAACCCAATCTCTCACTCTTCATACTGGCTTGCTAACTTCATGCTAGAGTTTGCTGGACATGAGGTTTCTTGCTCTGTCCCCCTCAGGGAGTGTTTAACTTAGGATAGTTACATAATTCTTAAAAAAAATAAATACCCATTTGATTAATTCAACTCCTCCCACAACAGCAGCTCCATTCTCTCGAGCTATTTCAGCTTCTTGCTCATTCTGTTGAGAGAAAAAAAAATTATTAATACCTGTACTATCAATTGGTCTATAGCAACAGCACTAGGTAGGAGATTTATCTTAGACAACTCGGTATAAAACAGATTATTTACAGGCTAAGAAGGAAAGAATAGTTAAGGCAATCAAAGGCCAAAGTTATTTAATGTTGGTGATATAACATAGGAGGTTGAACTCAAACTTTAAGGTCCTTTCATTTTCCTTTAAGGAAGAGACTGGAACTGCCCTCATACAGAAGCTACAACTGCTCTACACACCACTTCACATTACTGAACTCCTTCGCAGATGAAGGGTTTAGGGCAGAGGCAAGTTTTTTTTAGGGTTTTTGAGGAGAAATTACTTTCTGCCTGCCTCCCTCCCCCCAAAGCTATCCTGTTACAGCACAAGTTACTGTGACTAACACCCACCTCCAATCTGCACAGCAGGGTTGGACACAACAGCTACACTGAACAATCTGCCTGTGTTACAAACAGGGGACAAGGCTTTTACTCTACAAACTTGAATAATCTCTTCCTTAGTGACATCTATGCAGATGTTTACTCCCTAACTGCACTGCTAGAATAATCTCCAGATGTGTAAATGTACCAGGATGAAGGAAATCCTTTAAGATGCTTGTTAATACATTAAGACGCTACTGAAGATTAATCCTAGGGAGAGTTCTGTAAAGCATCTGCAGAGTCTTTTCAATAAAAAGAACAGCACTTGAACGGGAACTAGTTGTGTTGTAAGAACATGCTATGAAGTAAGCCAGGCTTACCCACCTCTGTGAAAACCAAGACCTTATTCGTCTCATCTGTGAAGCGATAGGGAAGAAGAACAGTGCTTGCAAATGGATCCACTTTTTTCTAAAAAGTAAAATAAGAAAAAAATATTAAAACAAGAAAGAAATCATTATTTCAGGGCACGTTGCACAACCGCAGGGAGCTGCTCCCCTGTGTAGCAACCCTGCCTGCAATTTCCTTGTGCAGAGGTCCTAACAAACAAGCACGATGCACAAGTTTTGACTGATTATTTATGTTCTGTATATACTCAAATCTAAACTTAAGAGACATGAGTTATTGATGCTGCAGTTTGCCCAAGAGAAAGGGGCTGGGATCGGTGACTCCGGTGTAGGATTGCTACTGTGCTCAGGTGCACTCGATAGCAAACACTGAGATGATGTATCTGCAGCTTATCCAAATTATGTTTCTGATGCAACGGCCAATGCAAAACACTAGCAAAGAATGAGTCTCTCGCCAAGCCTTAAGACCAGCACACAGCCTTCGAAAGCAGGAGCAAGAATAAGGATAAACTTATTTTCTATCTCTAAGGGACACCGGTATGCCAAAGGGATATGTAATTACACATGCAAAGAACCAATTTTCAAGAGGCCCATTTTCTCCTTATGGGTGAAGCAGAAAGAGTTTTAGGGAAAGACTAAGTGGGCTAGACAATTTTAAACCAAAAACAGCATAGGCAAACAAGTGGTAGCAAACTTTCAAGCAACATTATTAAAAAAAAATCAAAGCAAAGTGAAGGCAGGGACAGGAAGAAGCTTGTCTTTACACTTCTCCCTGTAACAATCATCCCAGAACACACCACATACATGGTTTGGTAACTATCTTTATGTTTAGCTTAGCTTGATCAGTTCTGTCCTGACATGAATTTTAGTCACATAACAGCCTGTTTTCAAAATCCTCGGTGGTGCTATCTTCACCCCAGGAATACGAGGGATGTTTAATACATGTATGAAGGCACAAAGCCACCCGCAAAAGGACACATTATTCCAACAATTAGAGAAGCTGCAGGAGGCACCTGAGAACACCAACAGCAGCATCTACTTTGCAGTTAAAATGCAGCTTTCCCACATTAAAAAGGATTAAAAATTGTATCCACTTCCAACCTACCTTCTTCTGTAGTGCCATATCCAGGGTTACGTTAATATAGACATGCTGTTTTGGGTAAGTGAAATCCAGTTCCTGAAATTTCTTCAGCATACCCACAGCCTCTTCTACATCATAGGATGGCCGCTCATAATACCACATCAAGTACACATCATCCACGGGCTTGCTCATCAGCGGCCGCCTCCTAGTTACTGGTTTCTTTTTTGTTTCTTCTTGCTTGGTCTTTCGTGAATCCTTTTTTGCAGTTCTATAACAAAACAAAAACATAATCATCAACTGAAGAGTTTAGCACATGTTCCAAGAGAAAAAAAGTAGATACTGTCATGTGTCAGTTACTAATTAATGATGAGTTAACAGGGAATGTTCACACAAAGATGAACAGCCTCCCTAAATTCATCCCAATTATTTGTTTCAGACAGCCAAGACAGAAATCAAAAGCTCTGAAGGCAACGAAGCTCCTCAAACAATGTACTCACGTTTGCAGAGCATGGAACCAAACTCATAACCCCCTACTGTATCAAAGCAAAACCAGTTTAAGGCAATACCCCAACTTTGGGGTTTTTTGTTTGTTTTGGAGTTTTCTTCCCCCCCTCTTTTTTTACAGCTCTTGCCTGCACATGAGCTGGTATCAGGCACTGTACCTGAACTACTTCCAAATCCAGCAAATCCCACACACCTTCCTGGGAACCAGGAGACAGCTCAGCTGTTTTACTGCTTCTTACAGTGGATCACAGCAGTCCCACCTTTCAAAAAAGGTTTCTTCTTCCTTTCCTGTATAATTTTGCACGCAGTTAACAAACACCAGCCCCAATCCTTATTCTCCTATTTTCAAAGGCTCTCAAATCAAGGAAGAAACAAATTACAGTAATAGCTAAATATCTGTTCCTCTATTAACTACAGTGAGAGAGTCTGCAACACTTCAGAACACTTGCTGTACAGCATGCCTTGCTGTTCTCTACACAGAGTTTTTACTTCACCCACTTATGCCGTAAAAAAAAAAAACAACACACCAACAAATTAAACCATAAAAAGCAACCTGAAACAAAAAGTGGAATTGTTTGAAACCAATTCCATAGGCACACCAGCTTTCATACTGACAGCACTCCTTCAGCTGTAAGCCTGCTGCACCCTCCAAAAGCATGCATCAAAAATATCAATAAAATCTTACACTCAACTTTTACATTCGTTATTTCAAGAATAACAGAAAACACTCCCTACAGGTTCAAGGCCAGGCTGGAGGAGGCTTTGAGCGACCCGGGCTAGTGAAGGGTGTCCCTGCCCGTGGCAGGGGGTTAGAACTTGATGATCTTTAAGGTCCTTTCCAACCCAAACCATTCTATGATTCTAAGTCCAGCTTAGACCTCTCTCCAAACTGTTTCTCTAGGAGGCAGTTGCCTGCAGGATGCCACGAAGACCAACTCGGCTGTTAGAGCAACACTACAGACACCGCAAACACCGCACACTCCCCCGCTACCACCCCCAGGACATCCTGACACTTGAACACCCGGCGGCCAAGAGAGCCGCTTCGCAGGACAGCGGACCCACTTACTTCGCTGCCGCAGCGTAGGGCCGGGCGGCCGGCGCGGCGCTCACCAAGGCGGGGACGACGGCAAGACGCTGGTCGAGCCCGGGGAAGACCCACCC